ACTTTTGATCATTTTTATCAGAGTTGCATATACATACAGACAAAAGAGTTAAGACATTTCTCAGAAGCTAACTAGAGAAAATGTCAACTTCATTAACTCTTAAGCAAGGTTTTTTCAAGGTTATTTTATTTATTTTACTTATGTATGAGAGAGAGAGAGAGAGAGAGAGAGAGAGAGATTGAGAGAGAAAGAATGCCATGTGTGTAGGTGCCCTTGAAGGCAGAAGAAAGCATTTGATCCTTTGGAGCTAGAATTACAGCATTGTGAGCTATCCATCATGTGTGCTGGGAACTGAACTGGGGTCCTCTGGAAGAGTAGCAAGCACCATCCACTGAGCCATATTTCCACACAAGCAGTGATTTCATATTGCTACCTTTTTCTGTCAGCATTGCTCATTATCTTCTGGTCTTGCATGACTGACATTTGAAGATTATTCATTGTCTTTTTCCTCCTTATCACACATGCATCCCTGGTCCCTCTGCCTAAGGTCCCATCCTCTTTCATAATTATGTTGCAATGTTTATTTCTTAAGTACTCAATCTTTCGTCTTATTTTGACAAAGTCATATTTGTGATTGGGTCAGAAATAATAGTACAATTATTTTCTTCCTTATATAGTCTTGGACATTTATCATTACTGTGGTCTTTTACTGTGTCCCAACATAGATTATCTTGTATTCTTTTAAAAAATATTTTATTTATTATTTTTCTTTTATTTGTATGAATGTATTGCCTGCATATATGTAAGTGAACCTGTCATGCAATTGCCCACAGAGGATCAGATGCTCTCAGGCTTTCTCCTAAGGTCTGGTTCCCTCCAGGAAGGATTTTGGCCTCAGGAATTTGAGGGTTGGGCTGGCCTGGGAGCTAAGCCCAGTGAAGATGCTATTCTAGGGCAACTGGTAGCCATGCCACCCAGAGATGCAAAGGAAGAGGGGGGCAGGAAACGGCCCCAAGGGCTCCTGGGGACTGTACTGTGGAGCTGGGTTGGTCTGGATGCAAAGGATCAGGGAGAGGAAAGGTCAGCCCTGGTGTCCAGGAAAGAAGTTGGTGGGTAATGCAGGCCCAGGGAAGTTGAAGACGGGGTCAGTCCCAGAGTGCTCCTGGGGACCTGAGAAGGAACTCAGTTGGTCTGGATGCAAAGTGGTGGTTTCCCAGATGTCTGGGGCAGGCGCCAAGATAAGGAATGGGACAGGACCCAGGCTAGGAGGAGAGACCAACAGGGGAAATGGGAGGGTGAATGAGGCTGGGGGAGTCAAGGTGCAGAGGGTGCAATTGACTTACCTGGGAGAGAGAGACCTGTGGGTCAGAGAGAGATCTGTGGGTGGTGGAGGCCCAGGGAAGCAGAGGGAGGTGAGGGCGGGGCTGGGCCCAGAAGCAGTGCTCCTGGGGATCCAAGAAGGAACTGAGTTGGTCTGGATGCAATGGATCAGGATGCATTGGTGGTTCCCCAGGTGTCTGGGGTGCCATGAGAAGAAATGGGACAGGATCCAGGCTAGGAGGAGAGACTGGTGGGGGAGATGGGATGGTGAATGAGGCTGGGGAAGTCAAGGTCCTGAGGGCAAGCTCAACTTACCCCAGAGAGGGAGTCCTGCTGGTCGGAGAGAGCTTTATTTATTATTTTTATTTTATTTTATGTATATGAGTGTATTGCCTGTATGTAAGTGAGTGCAGCCGTGTCATGCAATGCTCATGGAGGTCAGAAGAGGGCATTGAATTCCCCTGGAACTGGAGTTACTGATGGTTGTTAGCCACCATGTAGGTGCT